ATTCACTTCTATCATTTTAGTTCTAAAATTCCTCAATTTTTCATTACAACTAATGCGATTTAATCATGAATGTTTAATTGATGCAGATATTTTAGCAACAACTCATGCCATATTTCATAATCCATTGGTAAGTTTACATTATTATCTCATATCTTTTTCCCCCCACCTTTTTCGTTTACTTTGATTACATGTTATATTCATGTACTTTCTTAGAGTTTATCTTAGATAAATATGTCATTTTTTCACTTGATATATATAAAGAAATTTAACTGACATAATAGATGTGAAATATCCAGAGTTACTGTTATGCATGGTTGTTATGTCAAAGTTTGAGAATCTCTTGTAAACCAAAAAAGATTGTCATTCATTTTCAGTAATGATATGTTATTTTAGCTCTAATTAGTCTTTGGAAATTCAATTCACCTAATTTTGCTTTTAAAAAAAATGGTTATTACAATTTGGATGTTATCTACTCCTAACCACATTAATTACTTCCGCAAATTGATTGAGCTTTATGAACTGATATAAAAACCCAAAAATCAATTCATTAAAAAAATTTTCTTATGTAAGTGAAACTATTGTTATTGCCTTTTGGATGATGTTCACTTATAGCACCTGGAACAATACACTGCCAAAAGCCAGCAGCCTTACCACAATCCCTTCACATATGTAAAACAGACTCATTTTGCCTACAAACAGAACAGGCAGGAGATGCACCCCATCTTCTGACCCTTAATTCACTAGAGTGCAGCCTATCATTAGCCACAAGCCACAAAAACACTTTAATCCTCTCAATTCTAGGCCATACTGACTTCAAAATCTTATTTTTCAGCCCCCAAGAGTTTTCCACCAACAATTTATACCCACTCTTAGTTGTAGAATCACCTTGTTGCCCCCTAACCCTACAAATTTTATCGTTTTCGTCACTATTATCAGGTTTCATTACAACACGCAGCTTCATTAATTGCTTCACACACCCTCCACCCCCTTAATTTTGGAGGCACATCCTGTAAAACAGCATTGCCTAGCTTAATTTTCTGATTAATCCAACAATCATCCCAACAAGAGGTACTTTCACCATTCCTCACTTCTACCCACCGATTTCCTCTTATCCCAAGTAGAAGCTGAATCATTCCAAGACCCAGAATCAGCACTCTTCATCACAATATCATCTAAAAAATATTTACTTTCATTGTATCTGCATTTAATAACATCATACCACATACCACATACCACTATTACCAGATCCTTATTATCATCGTTAATGTGGATTATCTATACATAATATATACTCATCAAAGTTTCAAACACTTGTGTTTACTTTTCAGGACGAGGTAGCAAAAATGAAAAGGAGAATAGGTAATAACATTATAAACTTATATAATTATAAATAAACTAGTTATTTTTATTAATTTAACTATTTCGGCCCTTAATTTTACAGCGATGGTGACAAGCATTTTTGTGAAGACCACACTTCGAAATGAGGATAAAGAAGTGATGGCTCGAAATATGTGTTTTTTTGCAGAACACTTGGATGTAATTTCATTTTTTCCCTATTTTAATGTGTACTCTTTAATAAATGTGCTTATTTTGGGAAAGTTAATTGATTGATTGATTGATTTATTTATTTATTTTTGTTGCAGCAAGTGATTCCCTTATTATTCAAGGAACTAGCACGTTCCAACGAGGCAAGAATGAGAAGTAATGCTGCCTTTTGCGTTGGACAGTTGGGTATGAATGATAAAGATTTAGCTATAAAGTATCCTTGTCCATGTCTTTTTTTTTTTTTCAAACTTTAATAAACTCCCATTTTAATAACTCCCTAGTATAAAAAGATTTTATTAGCATAGCCAATGCAAGTCAGACTTATGTATATTTAGTATTTTTTATGTAGTGTCGTAGAGGATTTTACTACTTGTGGGTTCAAATTTCTTGTACTTGGAAATCTTATTTGTTTTAGCTAGTTTAGCATTTCTTTAACAAAATACTAGATACCCCAAGCTATTGCGTCGGCTTCTTCTTCTACTTGGAGAAAATGAGACAAATGTGATGGTGAGTGATAATGGAGCTATTGCTGTGGCAAAGATGATAGACATGCACCTTAACTTGATTCCATTGGATCAGGTAACTTCTCATACCTCTAATATGCATACTTACCATATAATTTAAATCAACATTCTTACGCATGTTAGGAAATTGTATTTTGGTAAAAGCACTTGATAGCCAAATAATTCTACTGGTATTTATTTAAATTTCTCTTGAATATATTTGGTAGGTTGTTCAAGGTTTTTTGAGAGTTCTTCCTTTAAAAGAAGAATTGGAGGAGTCTTCTATTGTTTATGGATGTATCCATAAAATTGTTTTAAGGTGCATGAATCAGGTGATCAATTGTTTCAAGAACATTCTAATTAATTGCTTTCTTTACTTTATTTTTCTACCTGGATGATTTTACTCACTTAAAATCCTGACCAACTCTTATGTTTCTTAAATGTTATTCAGGTGCATGGCCTACTCCCTCAGTTATTAAATTTGCTTACTCAAGTTTCACTTTCACCTGATGAGCCCGCGGATGCAAAAAAAGGGGTAGCCAAAACTATTACTCTTCTAGAAAGATCACTCGCGGCCTTGTGAAATAGAAGACTTGCAAAGCCATATCCCTCTTTCTAAAAGAAGTGATATAGACTTGATGTCATATATTTGTGACTAATATTCACGCTTTAAATTGTAGAAGTGGATTAACTTCTTGTGGGTGAGCATGCTTTACATTTGATGAGAGACAAGGTGTCAGTCAAACTGATTTTTGAACCAATTTAGGTCCGCATTGCACGTTTTCTTCAAGAGGCGTAATTTTCATATTTGATACAAAATATGCAAAATGATGAGTGCAAATAAAAAAAAAAACACAAGATAGATGTAGATCACCTGGAAGACAATAAGGTTTAAGACAATAATAATGTTTCTTATATAAGACAAGATCTTCAATACGTAACATGTAGCGAAATGTGAGGGTTATCAAAGATTTGGTATGAACCAAACAGGACAAGGCACGTCAGTAAAACTTGATCTTTCAAATGCATAGTATTCAATCCTTCTTTCAGTCCTGCAATGTCTCCCAATTTTCAAGCCCTTCCATTTGTCCGTGCCTTCAATACATGGAAATCGATAAGAAAAATATATGCAATTCTCTTTAATAAACTCTTGAGGAATATGAGGAGCAACACGTAACGATAGTGCAAGAGTCTTCCAGTAGCCAACAAACAACCCAAGACTTTCCAAGTTTTCAACCTCAATCCAACTAGGGTCCAACTTACTTTACTGTCTACAGTCTCGGGCGGATTGGCAAACTCCTTTGCCTCATGGCCCCCACAATTGTACGTAAAGAATGTGGTGTAATACAAGTAAATAAGCAATAATTCTCCAGATGAAGGATCAACGGCCAGAGTCTTAAGAATGTGATCATTAGCTTCTACAAAGTACGTAGGGCGAAGTTCATTAAGATAGCAAGGGGGAACTATCTCAGTCCTGATAATGTTAGGTACTAGTAGAGGAAGCCTAGCTAATATCTTAAGTTTTAGAGGTTGTTTTTTCAAGTCATAAGAAATTAAAGAATTTTTAGATTTGTTGGTCAGAGCATACAATTTTCCATGGAGAATCTCCACGTGCATGAAGGTGATCCTTGTCATAGGATCTTCAACGACTATAGTCCATGACTCTTCAGAATATCACTTGGATGCAAAGGTTTTAACTTAGGGCGCAAGAGTTCTGACTTAAGGTGTAAGGGATCTGGCTTGGGGTACAAGGGTTATGTGTTGTGTTATGATAACGTTAATTTATATATAAATCTTAAACTTTTTCATGTAAATCTAGTCTTGGGTGTAAGGATTTTGGCTTGAGTACAAGGGTTATGTGTTGTGTTATGACAACATTGATTTACATGTAAATCTGGCCTCAGGTGCAAGGATTCTAGCTTAAGGTGCAAGGATTCTGGTTTGGGTACAAAGCTTCTGACTTGGGGTGCAATGTTTCTGACTTTGAATGCAACGATTCTGACTTGGGTGCAAGGATTATGTGTTGTGTTATGACAATATTGATTTACATGTACTTGGACATTTTCATATAAATTTGGTTTTAGGTACAAGGCTTCTGACATAGGGTGTAAGAGTTCTTACTTCAGGTGTACGGCTTCTGGGTTATGGTGCAATAGGACTAGCTTGGGTGCAAAGAATCTTGCTTTATTGATTTATATGTAATCACACGCAGTTTCATGTAATTCTTTGTATTTAATTTTGTTAGATTACTTTATAAATAAAATATTAGACTTGATCCTTAGGAACAATTTATGTTATTACCAATTTTTCCAAATAATTTTAGCAGTTGGACAAATCTTACATCATATGAATTGAAAAATACTTAAGTAAACCGAATGCATCACATTATTTATAATTTATTTGATAAAAATATGACATTTATGTGACATTAAATAAATTAATTCTGATATTAATAATAATAAGAACAAAAAGATAATATGTCAAATATACATTTTGTTATAAAAATAAAAATAATTTAAAAAAGATCATACAAGATTTTATTTTGATTACTTAGAATATTTTAATGACGTGATATACTCAATCTAAATATTTCTTGAACATATAAAAAGAATATCTAAGAATTATCGGTACAAAGCTTTTCAAATGTCCTTGTATTATTTAAAAAATGATATAGATGAGAGTGGGGTATGATTTTAATTTAATGTAATTAAATTTTATTTTAAAATTAATTTTTGAGTTATAAAGTAAAGCAACAAAAAATTTGTGAAAAGGAAAAAGAGTAATAAAGAAGAAGAATATAGAGAATGATCTGCCGATCTGGTGCGATTTTGCGAAATCTGGTCCCCGAATGCGAATAGTAAGGAAAGGAAGAGACACGTGGAAATAAATAAAAAGATTTGAGGAAAGAATGCAAGATATTTTGGGTGACAACTGATAACTGAGGCACGAGGCGCACCGAACAGAGCCAGGGGGGAGAGAGAGTGGAACAGAAAAAGTAGATCGATTGAGACTGAAACAGAGAGATCGAAACATCGGAGAAAGAGATGGGAACAGAGACAGAGAGACATCAGAATTCCAGACAGAGGAGGAAACCCGGAAGGTATGTTTGGTTCCTTCATCAAACTTAGTTGTAGATCCGACTGCTTTGTGTTTATATGATGTTGGATGTTTTGTGTCTTCATTCAACTCGGCAATCTCGCCTTTGTATCATGACCAAAATTCACTTTGCCTATGAGAATTTCGACATGTTATGGTTTGTGGTTTTGCTTCCCCGTGCGTTTATTAACATCTCCTTTGTGTTTGATTGCTTTGTCACTCACTGTTTCACTCGTTTTAGACTTAAATTTTTGTTCATTGATCTGTGAATTTTCTAGTAATTGGTATAATTGTATTTAAATTTTATCTGAACCATAAAAATTAATTTGAATTTTTCAATTTAAATTGAAATTATTTGATTTTGAAAGGCTGAATTAGTGTCCAAAGTTTCTGGGATGTAAATTCATGTACAATGCGCTCATAGTTCGTCTTCATTCTCCCTGGAAATGTATGGAACGTATACTCTTCATTTTTTTTAATAATAATTGGAGTTAAATAATACCCTTTAATATATTGCTTTTTGTGGGTTTTATTTATCTTGCCTTTATTTTGAAGCATGAAGAACGGCCAAAAAGAAGAAAGTAGTGGCAGCAAACGCACATGGATGGAGCATCTATGTACATTGCCAATCATACATCTTCTCTCCAAGTAATTGCTTATTTAAATTTTATGAGCTGTAATTAAATTAATATCTTTAATTTTATTTGAACGATATATGATTACAAACCTAATTTTGCTCATCAACACTAATGGAAAGAATTGAAACTTTACTTTGCTATGAATCTTTAATTTTTGTTTCTTTATTTACCATTGTAAAATAAAGAAACAAAAAATAAGTGTGATAAGGAAAATGAATCATAAATAAGAAGAATACATGGAGAATTATTCTGGTAGGATATTGCGAAACAGTAGATTATATTTTGGGTGACTAAAGCAATAGGTGTACCAAGCAGGAAGAAAGTGCGAGGAGAGAGAGACTTGAACGAAAAAGTAGATCCAGAGACTAAGCCTGAAACAAAGACAGTGAGACATCAGAATTGCAGAGAGAGCAAGAAGATGAGGGAACCCGGAAGGTATGTTTGGTTCGTTCATTGTTTTCTGTAATCTGTTGTTGCCTCCTTCTCTTCTGTTTCAGTTCTTTTCGTCAAACTAATCTTATGTGTAAAGCACGCTAAGGACTTATGGGTGTGTATAACTAAACAAGAACAAATTAAATTAAAATTTTAAAAAATAATCAGAATCCCTTAAAAGAAGCAAATTTCTTATTATTTTAATAAGTTTTTAAGTAATTTTTTAAAATAATCTAATATAGTATATGTATGAGAGGGAATAAAAAGAATGCCGTAAATTTGAAGATACTTGTCAAAAATTTTACAGTAACTAAATAAAAAAATTATTTTTTATAAATTAAGATAAACTAAAATATTATAAAGTCTAAAATCACTAAATAATTATCGCATCAATATTTTAACCAACTGTGATATATTGGTTTTTGTGGGCTATATTTTTCCTTTACTTTGAAGAATAAAGAACGGCCAAAAAGAAGAAAGTAGAGGCAGCAAACGGACATGGATGGAGCACATAGAGCAGTGTTTAAATTTTATTTGTAAATGGCCAATCTTGCGACATCTTCACATCAGGTAATTACTCATTTAAATTTTAGAAGCTATAAATTAGCTTCTTTAATTTCATTTCAACGATACTTGATTAATTACAAACATAATTTTGTTCATCAACACTAATAGAAAGAATTGAAGCTATACATTGTTATGCATCACTTCATTGTTAGTTCTCGTATTTTTTAACAAAACTACCTTTTTAAAGGGCAACAAATGGTGAAGAAGAAGAAAAAGAAGGAAGCAACAACGACCAAAAGATGCTAATTGCAAAAGATGATGACATAAAAATCGAGGAAACTAGCAGCAACAGTGAAAAAAAGGCACATATGACTGATGATGATGATGAGAGAAGAGTAACGAACATTAAAGAACAAGGAATAAGTTACAGTAAGTGGTCGCAAGTGGGAGATGATATCTTGGGCTTGGTTCTGGAACACTTATGCCTCAGTGATTACCTTCGAAGCCGAGCTGTATGCTCAAGTTGGCAGTCCATTGTCAGTAAATACGTTGCCAAGAAGCAGTGTCTTCCACAGCCTGAACTGCCACTTCTTTATCTTCAAACAATGGACAGCCAAAACTTTCCATTTTTCATCTTACCCACAGCAAGTGTCTTCAAGTTCAACTACACAGTCCCGCCACTCGAATTCATCCATTATTGCTATGGCACAGTACAAGGTTGGATGATCATGATTGAAGCTTCCCGCAATTATTTTGACGTTCCTGAAACCGATGTTCAGATCTTCTTCTTCAACCCAGTGACGAAGGCTAAGGTTTACTTGTCGTCAAGGTTGAAAGTGAAAAGTAAAATTAAACGAATTGTGGCATCGACAAACCCCAATGACCCAAACTGTGTTGTGGTATGTATCTTTTACCTCCAGAATATTTTCGCCTTCAGATGGATTTCGGATGAGTCATGGACTATAGTCGTTGAAGATCTTATGACAAGGATCACCTTCATGCACGTAGAGATTCTCCATGGAAAATTGTATGCTCTGACCAACGAATCTAAAAATTCTTTAATTTCTTATGACTTGAAAAAACAACCTCTAAAACCTGAGATATTAGCTAGGCTTCCTCTAGTAGTACCTAACATTATTAGGACTGAGATAGTTCCCCCTTGCTATCTTAATGAAGTTCGCCCTAGGTACTTTATAGAAGCTAATGATCACATTCTTAGGACTCTGGCCGTTGATTCTTCATCTGGAGAACTGTTGCTTATTTACTTGTATTACACCGCATTCTTTACGTACAATTGTGGGGGCCATGAGGCAAAGGAGTTTGCTAATCCGCCTGAGATTGTAGACAGTAAAGTGTTCAAGTTGGACATGAGTGACGAACCTAGTTGGACTGAGGTTGAAAACTTAGAAAGTCTTGTGTTGTTTGTTGGCTACTGGAAGACTCTTGCATTATCGTTACGCGTTGCTCCTCATATTCCTCAAGAGTTTATTAAAGAGAATTGCATATATTTTTCTTATCGGTTTCCATGTATTGAAGGCACGGACAAATGGAAGGGCTTGAAAATTGGGAGACATTGCAGGACTGAAAGAAGGATTGAATACTATGCATTTGAAAGATCAAGTTTTACTGACGTGCCTTGTCCTGTTTGGTTCATACCAAATCTTTGATAACCCTCACATTTAGCTACATGTTACGTATTGAAGATCTTGTCTTATATAAGAAACATCATTGTTGTCCTAAACGTTATTGTCTTCCAGGTGATCCACATCTATCTTGTGTGTGTTTTTTTTTTATTTGCACGTTTCATAAATTTTGGTTATCTAAATTAGAATCTACTTTGGCTCCTCTTTCATCTGCCATCATATTGCATATTTTGCATCAAACATGAAAATTACACCTCTTGAAGAAAACATGCAATGCGGACCGAAATTGGTTCAAAAATCAGTTTGACTGACACCTTGTCTCTATCAAATGTAAAGCATGCTCACACCCACAACAAGTTAATCCACTTCTACAATGTAAAGCGTGAATATTAGTCACAAATATATGACAGCAAGTCTATATAACTTCTTTTGGAAAGAGGGATATGGCTTTGCAAGTCTTCTATTTCACGAGGCCGCGAGTAATCTTTCTAGAAGAGTAATAGTTTTGGCTACCCCTTTTTTTTGCATCTGAGGTGAAAGTGAGACTTGAGCAAGCAAATTTAATAACTGAGGGAGTGGGCCATGCACCTGAATAACATTTGAGAAACATAAGAGTTGGTCAGGATTTTAAGTGAGTAAAACCATCCGGGTAAAAAAATAAAGTAAAGAAAGCAATTAATTACAATGTTCTTGAAACAATTGATCACCTGATTCATACATCGTAAAACAATTTTATGGATGCATCCATAAGCAATAGAAGACTCCTCCAATTCTTCTTTTAAAGGAAAAACTCTCAAAAAACCTTGAATAACCTGCCAAATATATTCAAGAGAAACTTAGATAAATACCAATAATATTATTTGGCTATCAAGTGCTTTTACAAAAATAAAATTTCCTAACAAGCGTAAGAATGTTGATTTAAATTATATTAAAGATATGAGAAGTTACTTAATCCAATGGAATCAAGTTAAGGTGCATGTCTATCATCTTTGCCGCAGCAATAGCTCCATTATCCCTCACCATCACATTTGTCTCATTTTCTCCAAGCAGAAGAAGAAGCCAACGCAATAGCTTGGGGTATCTAGTGTTTTGTTAAAGAAATACTAAACTAGCTAAAACAAATAAGATTTCCGAGTACAAGAAATTTGAAACTACAAGTAGTCAAAGCCTCTACAACACTAAATAAAAAATACTATATATATATATATATATAAAAGTTTGACTTTCATTGGCTATGCTAATAAAATCTTTTTATCCTAGGTAATTATTAAAATGGGAGTTTATTAAAGTTTGAAAAAAAAAAAGACATGGACAAGGATACTTTATAGCTAAATCTTTATCATTCATACCCAACTGTCCAACGCAAAAGGCAGCATTACCTCTCATTCTTTCCTCGTTGGAACGTGCCAGTTCCTTGAATAATAAGGGAATCACTTGGTGCAACTAAATAAATAAATGAATCAATCAATCAACTTTTCCTAAATAAGCACATTTATCAAAGATTATATATTAAAATAGGGAAAAAAGAAATTACATCCAAGTTCTCTACAAAAAAGCATATATTTCGAACCATCATTCCTTTATCCTCATTTTGAAGTGTGGTCTTCACAAAAATGCTCATCACCGTCGCTGTAAAATTAAGGACTTAAACAGTTAAATTAATGAAAAGAACTAGTTTATTTATAATTATATAAGTTTATAATGTTATTACCTATTCTCCCTTTCATTTCTGCCATCTCATCCTAAAAAATAAACACAAGTATTTGAAACTTTGATGAGTATATATTATTTAGAGATAATCCACATTAACGATGATAATAAGGATCTGGTAATAGTGGTGTGTGGTATGATGTTATTAAATGCAGATACAATGAAATTAAAGATTTTTTAGATGATATTGTGGTGAAGAGTGCTGATTCTGGGTCTTGGAATGATTTAGCTTTTGCTTGGGATAATATAAGAGGAAATTGGTGGGTAGAAGTGAGGAATGGTGAAAGTACCTCTTATTGGGATGATTGTTGGATTAATCAGAAAATTAAGCCAGGCAATGCTATTTTACAGGATATGCCTCCAAAATTAAGGGGGTGGAGGGTGTGTGAAGCAGTTAATGAAGTTGCGTGTTGTAATAAAACCTTATAATAGTGATGGAAATAACAAATTTTTTGGGGTTAGGGGGCAACAAAGTGATTCTACAGTTAAGAGTAGGTATAAATTGTTGATGGAAAATTCTTGGGGGCTGAAAGATAAGATTTGGAAGTTAGTATGGCCTGGAAATGAGAGGATTAAAGTGTTTTTGTGGCTTGTGGCTAATGATAGGTTGCACTAGTGAATTAAGGTTCAGAAAATGGGTTGCATTCTTGCCTGTTCTGTTTGCGGGCAAAATGAGTCTGTTTCACATATGTGAAGGGATTGTGGTAAGGCTGCTGACTTTTGGCAGTGTATTGTTCCAGGTGCTATGAGTGAAAATCATCCAAAAGGCAATAACAATAGTTTCACTTACATAAGAAATTTTTTTTTGGTGAATTGATTTTTTGGGTTTTATATCAATTCATAAGACTCAATCAATTTGCGGAAGTAATTAACGTGGTTAGGAGTAGATAACATCCAAATTATAATAACCATTTTTTAAAAGAAAAAACAGGTGAATTGAATTTCCAAAGACTAATTAGAGCTAAAATAACATATTGTTACTGAAAATGAATGACAATCTTTGTTGACTTACAAGAGATTCTCAAACTTTGACATAACAACTGTGTATAACAGTAACTCTAGATATTTCACATCTATCATGTCAGTTAAATTTCTTTATATATATCAAGTGAAAAAATGACATATTTATCCAAGATAAACTCTAAGAAAGTACATGAATATAACATGTAATTAAGGTATTGATGTAAAATTTTTAAAAGTCGTAACTCAATATATAACACATTTATACATAAGATAAAACATCTTTGAAGAGTTGCTTTCAATTAGATTCAATTAATAACATTTAAATCTAACCTAATCAAATAGTTTCATTAAAAAAGAACGTGAATCATAGCATTCGAGTTGCATTAGTGAAGAAATTAAACTTGAAAGACTTGACTATCTCTGTCACGCCCCGAAGTATGGGAGTGAACAACATATGATGTGCACTTAAACACACATCCTTTAAGACCATGATTAAGGAAAATTTTGAATTAATGCATAAGACTTACTGTCATCTTGATTATATACATTAATTTTTTTTATTTTTTTTAGATAATCAAAATATTAATTTTTTTTTATTTCGACAGCACTTCGCCTATAAGTAAGACCTTCCGAAATCTCTACAATAAAAAATTTACAATTTATACCCAACAGTACAATGCTTTACTGCGTAGTAACAGATAGACAATATAACAAAAGGATCTAGGACCCTAACTATAGTCTATGTGGAGCACCTAATCGTTCATTTTTTTTATAATTCAGAAATTCATATTTATATCAATAGCAAACATTTATAGAACAAATCTCCACCAAGCTCAACAGAAATTCCTTATTGGAAAGCAGGACGTACATTGTCAGCTACACTATCTGAGGTCAAAATAACTTTTCAGTGAATAATGTCCCAAGCATAATATTTTATAAAATCACAATGAATAATATACAATAATTATGTAAATTACATGAGAAAGCAATTCACTATAAGCAGATTGATTAACTTAGAATAAAATATCTATGTAACTTCAATAACAAAAACATTTAAATCAATAATCATAAAATAACTTCAACATTTGATCTTGATAAATCAAATAATTAAATAATGATTAATAATAACAATATTTACCAATTGAAAACCATTAAATATGAAATCACCAATTGAAAATTCATTTTTCTGAGGATTTATCAGAACAATTCACAAACACAGACACACAGTCCACAAGGATAAATAATCAAATGCAGCCGAAGCTACAAAACAAATGTGGACACACAGTCCATAAGGGTAAATATTCAAACGCGGCTTATGCCACAAAACAAATATGAGTACGATGCTTATGAATAACATCTTTCCATTCCACGTGCGTTGGCCATCACACAAGGCTAGCACCTCATATAAACACCCTGCTAGCTAGGTATATCAAGGTGCGCCAAGGGCTAACGGAACTGCCGTTAGCAGCCAGTTGTTCTGTATAAAGTCCCGTTCAAATCCATTATCAAATATGCGAGAAAATAATCATTGTTAAATAAATTTTTATTTGCAATGTCTAACTCGCATGAATCGTTTTCTGTATCAATCCAATATTTGATAAAATAAAAATTTCATAATCAAAGTCCAAACTTGTTTGAATCGATCAAATAGCATTTCAAATCTGGTAAAAATAATTTCTCAAAGTAAAGTAATTTTAACCAACAAATATCCAATAATCACATTATTGCTATTAAAATGATTTGCAAAAAGACGTAATATTTTAGTAGAGGAGATTTTGGTTGAAAAAAATCAGTTGGGACGCTATCCACTTACCTGCAATGTTCTCAAATTTCAAAAGTTTTCGCCTTTTAACTCCTATCAAGACCCCCTTTTTTCACACATCTTATAAGAACATGAATAATTGAGACTTTAATTAATTCCCTATAATTTATAAAAACTTCTTTCCACTTCTAACACAATCCCAATCAACTACAACCATTCAACATTCCAAATACCAAAATTCATCTCTTAAAATTTATCCAATTATTGTCATTTATACCTATAATTTCTTCAATGTTGCTCAAGCCAAATCGATCTATTTACTTAAAATATGATTATCTCTTAGGCTTGCCTCAAGTACCTCAAGTGCATTACTTCCAATTATTCAATTAAAACTTTCTAACCATAAATCTCTTGTTTAGTAATTTATTAATAACTATACCATTTCCAATAATTTAACTTGCATATTAACTTCATAATCAAATTTCTTTACAAGGTTCAAGTTCATGGATCAATAACATTCAAACTAGACAAACTTCTCTTAAGAATCAATAAAATCTCCAAAAATGCATATTCAAACAATCTTCTCCTAACAAGCATTTTATCGAACACTTATCATGCATTAATTCTCAAACTAATACCAAGCTTCTTCCCTTTTTCATCTCATCTCCCACAAATTACAATATTGATATTGAAATTAATCAACCAAACCCAATTCCAATCCTTTAACAGAAAAAAATATCATTTACTCTTTAAAGAAA